AACTGTGAAGAGAAGACAGATTTAGGTATTGGAATCAAATGCTACCTCTGGTACTTTTGTAACAGTGAGTTAATATGTACCTCCTAAAAACAATTTTTAAGGGTATGGAGGGGGTCTCAAATGAGCATGAGCCCTCTGATAAGATCATAAGCATCAATTCACAGGCATGACTAGTTCGACACAAACCCTCCTAACGGATTCCCGAGAGACACCTGACTGCTGGCTCAGGTAAAACCTTTACCTGTAAAACCAAAAGGAGGGTAGCATTGAGGGTGAGAGGTAGGGATGGGTGGGGTGGGGGAAAGTGGTGGTGGGAAATGAAGGCAACTGTGTTCAAACATTAATAAAAAATAAAAAATAAAAATAAAAATAAAATAAAAATAAAATAAAACCAAGTGGTCAGATAGATGATATCTGTGGTCTTCTCCTTCAATAATGCACTTCTTTGCTGTTTGGATTCTAACAAGATCTTGTCTGTATTGGAAACTGTGCACAGATGCTACAGCTGTTCCTGGGGGAGTGGGTACTGTGGTACCCAGCCCTCCCTGGGCTGAAGGATGAGGTTGGGTCCATGGTGATGTGTCTGGCCTCTGAGTTACACAGTGCAGAAGGAAGGGAAGCACTCACCTGTGACTAAGACCCGCTTGTGGGCTGAATTTCCTCTATTTACAGGCTGTCTTTGCTAATCAGGATGGGCTCAAGGGGGACAGGAAGCAGGTGGCACTGGGGACTCCAGGGAGAGCTAATACAAATTTGACACCACCTGGAGGTAGAGAAGAGGAAAAAAAGGGGTTCTAAAAACAGCTAAAAACTAGAGACTTGACAACCAAATGCAACATGTGACCCTCGAAAGGATGCTGGATTTAAAAAACACACAAGAAACATACTGGGACTACTGGGGGAATTTGCATATGATTGTCTGTTAGGTGATTTGTATCAATGTTAAATTTCTTAAGAATGAAACTGGGGTTATTACATATGTATACACACACAGACAGAGATGAAGCAAATGTAGAATATTAAAAGTTGGTGAATGTGGGTGTTTACTGTGCTATTCCTTCTACTCTTTTACAAGTCTGTAGTTTTTGAAGTCACAAGTGTCAGAAAATTGTTCGAAAGTCAGATGTGTGCTGTAGTATAGGTTCTCCATTTCTGTAATCTCTTTCTTTCATGTTTATTCACCCCACAAGTTAAGAAGAACTGACTCCTATTGTGACTTAAGCTCATTTCCCCATTTGTTCTGTTATCTCTGTAAACCTAGGGCTCAGCTCGCTTTGATGATACGGGGAACCTCAGGGCTATTCCCGGAAGTCACATTTGTATGTCGTGGGCCACTCTCCTTTGAGTAACACTGGAGGCGGCAGCAGAAGCTAACGCTTGTTGAGCATTCATTCTGTGTCAGGTGCTTTAGCTGCACCAGCTTAGCTGATTCTAAGCAACAAACCTTGCTTACAAATGGCAGAGCCAGAATAAGAAGAACCCAGGACACATGACTCCCAAACCTTTGTTCTTGATTACCATTGAGTTGATCTCAGCCTGGAGGTTATTGCAATTACCTGGAGAGAATATTCCGATATGCACGGGCCCCATGCCCTGGAGTGCTGGCTCTGCAGTGGGGCGCAGACATCTGTGCCTGTGTGGCTGCAGCCTCCTCTGTCTCTCTAAGCCTTGGGAGAGTTCCATCTGTGATCTGTCTCCTCTCGTCACCACTTGGAGAGTCAACCCCTTTAACCTGAGAGGTTTGCCTCAGCCCTTCCTTTCTGCTCAGACCACTGTCTGCTGGGGTCGGCCCCGGTTGCCTCACAGGATGCAAGCTGGGGCCATGGCTTTGGTTGAACCAGTAAACCTACTGTGCACCATTCCTCACACTTAGCTTGTTATGGAGGCATTGTGGGAACTCAGGTGTGGGCTCCTGAGAACCCCTGTGCAGAGTGACTGCTTCCTTCTAGAAAGAGTCCTCTGGGGAGGGAGAGGAGGACAGAGGCACACAGAGCAGTAGCAGGCTGCGGCTCTATCTGTGATGTCTCATTTCTTCTTTTTTGAATGAATCTCAAAGGAATTATGCTGAAAAAGTAAATTCCAAAAGGCTATATCTGCATTATTCCATTTATATCATCTTCTCGATATGACAGAATTACAGAGGCAGGACAGATTAGTGGTTGCCAGGGGTCAGGGGCTGGTGGATTGCTAGTAAAGGGCACCAGGAGGGGCCCTGGTGGGGACGGCAGTGTTCTGTATCTAGACTGAATCAGTGTCAATTTCCTGCTTGTGATACTGCACAATAATTTTGAAAGATGTTGCCATAGTGGGAACCAGGATAAAGGGTTCAGAGGATCTCTATGTTATTTCTTACAATTTGATGTAAATCCTCAGTTTTATCTCAAAATAAAAAAAATTAAAAAAGAGAGGATATATCTTCCAGCCAAGATGGAGGCACAGGTAGATACACTGTGCCTCTTCACACAACCAAAATAAGGACAACAATTTAGAAACAAAAAACAACCAGAACTGACAGAAAATTGAACTGTATGGAAGTACAACAGCCAAAGAGTTAAAGAAGACACATTCATCCAGACCAGTAGGAGGAGCAGAGTCAGGCGGCAGGGTGGAGAGGGATCTCAGCAAAGTGGTGGCTGGTGGACCCTGGACATGCAAAGTAGTGGGTAGACCCAATAAGGCGGTTGGTTGTGGAGGGGGGATTGTGGAGGGGCGCGGTGCACAAGGGGGCTGTCAGACTGGGCAGTCCCACATTCGTGCACAGATAAACCAGGTGAAACTGGGGAGCAAGACAGACTGCGCAACCCAGGGTCCCAGTGTGGGGAAATAAAGCCTCAAAACACTGACTGAAAATACCTGTGGGGGTTGAGGTGCTGGGGGAAACTTCCGGCCTCACAGGAGAGTTCACTGGAGAGACCCACAGGGTCCTAGAACCTATACAAAACCACCCACATGGGAATTTGTACCAGAAGAGCCCTGTTTGCTTGGGGGAAGCAGGGTAAGTGACAGAAATCTGGCAGAGAGCAGAGCAAGTGGCACTGTTACCCTTTCCCTACATACAACGTCACAACAAAGCAACGTGGGTTACTCCACCCCTCACTACATAACAAGCTCATCAAGACAAAAAAAAAAATGGCCCAAATGAAATAACGAATCAAAGCTCCAGAAAAAATACAACTAAATGATGAAGAGATAGCCAACCTATCAGATGCACAGTTCAAAACACTGGTAATCAGGATGCTCACAGAATTGGTTAAATTTGGTTGCAAGTTAGATGAAAAAATGAAGGCTATGCTAAGTGAAATAAAGGAAAATGTACAGGCAACCAATAGTGATAGGAAGGAAACTGGAACTCAAATCAATGGAGTGGACCAGAAGGAAGAAACATCCAATCAGAAAAAAATGAAAAAATGAGAATTCAAAAAAATGAGGAGAGGCTTAGGAACCTCCAGGACATCTTTAAACATTCCAATAATTCAAATTAGAGTGGTACCAGAAGGGGAAGAGGAAGAGCAACAAGTGGAAAACTTATTTGAACAAATAATAAAGGAGAACTTCCCAAATCTGGCAAAGGAAATAGACTTTCAGGAAGTCCAGGAAACTCAGAGAGTCCCAAAGAAGTTGAAGATAAGAAAAGGAGAGTTACCTACAAAGGAGTTCCCATCAGACTGTCAGCTGATTTCTCAAAAAAGACCTTTACAGAGGGGAGAGGGGAGAGAATTTCAGGGGAAAAGGGGAAGGATTCATAAGAACAAGTATAAAGGACACATGGACAAAAACTAACAGGGGTGGAAATAGGAGGGAGGTGGGGAGCACTGGGGGTGGTGGGCTGAGATGGGAGTAAAAGACAGAAAACTGTACTTTAACAATAATTAAATTAAAAAAAAGACCTTACAGGCAAGAAGGGGCTGGCAAGAAGTATTCCAAGTCATGAAAGGCGAGGACCTACATCCAAGATTGCTCTATCCAGCAAAGCTTTCATTTAGAATGGAAGGGCAGATAAAGTGTTTCTCAGATACAGTCACATTGAAGGAGTTCATCATCACCAAGCATTTATTATATGAAATGTTACAGGGATTTATCTAAGAAAAAGAAGATAAAAAACATGTACAGTAAAATGACAGCAAACTCACAATTATTAACAACCACACCTAAAACAAAAGCAAGCTAAGGAAACAACTAGAACAGGAACAGAACCACAGAAATGGAGATCACATGGAGGGTTATCAACAGGAGAGTGGGAGGAGGAGAGTAGGGGAAAAGGTACAGAGAATAAGATGGTAGGTAGAAAACAGACAGGGGGAAGGCAAGAATAGTGTGGGAAATGTAGAAGCCAAAGAACTTGTGACACATGGACATGAACTAAAAGGGGGGAATGTGGGTGGGAGGGAGTGTAGGGGTGTGCAGAGTGGAGGGGAATGAAGTGGGGGAAATGGGACAACTGTAACAGCATAATAAAATATATTTAAAAAATAAAAAGAATATAAGGTGAATATGGCAAAATGAAAATATATGTTCTATATGGGTCTTGGAAATCTGTTGTATGATTTTCACTGTTTTCTGAATGTTTGAAATATTTAGTAAAAACCACCACCCTCTGGAGTTATCTCATCAGCCTTTGAAGTACACACCCTTCCCCAGGACTGGCTCCTGGTCCCTGCAGGCCAGTGTGACAGAGGGGCAATTCTGCAGTTTTGCAAGGAACAGGAGGTGGTGTTCAGGCATGGGGCTGACCTGACTGAGAACATCCCCCGATCTCTCTCTGTCTTTACTGAACCTGGGAAAGCACCTAACACTCCTGGAGGGTTGGGACTTCCCTGCTAGCTCCCGCAGCGCCCCCCTGAATCTCCTTGGCACGTTAATAAATGGGCGCAGTCACACCTCCACACTGACTCTCAGTGACAGTGAACTTCTAGACTAAAAGAGCTACTGATAAAGAAGGCTGTCTGCACATTATACTCCTTTGCTCTGTGTATTGTAAGAAAAGAGGCATATGTGCCAGAATTTATTTATTATATAGCTAAATCACAACTTTACAATACATTCAAGGGGGCCAGACAAGAAGTGTACAACACTTTACATGTAAAAGACAGAAGAGAATGTCCAAAGGATCAGTTATATTGGAATAGAATCTTAGTCACCACTAAAGGGTAAAGTGTTTTCAATCCAGTGTCACAGGGCGGACTTGGTTGCAGCAGAGCTATTCACACGGATTCTGAATGACAATCAGAAGATATTCCTTATCTGTGGAAAGACGTGGGAAAAATTAGTCCACCCTAAAAATTAAATATGACAAATGAATACTTCAGCTAATTTGCTTTTCTCTTTGAAACATCACTTGGACCTTGTGTAGACCAATGGTTTTCCACGCTGGTTCCACATCAGAATCATCTGCCGAGCTTTTAAAACACACCATTACCTGGGGCCCAGCCCTGGAGATTCTGATTGCATTGGTTTGGGGTGGAGTCCAGGCACCATCATTGTTTCTGTAAAGTTCTCCAAGTGATCCCAATGTGCAGCCAGGATGAGGACACAGGTGTAGAAAAAGGTTTGTTTAATTGTGGGTAATTCTGATTTTACAGATGGACGACTACAGGGAAGTTTATTCTAGACTTCATTTAGAAGCATGAGTCCTGTTTTACACTCATGTCTACCAACACTGTAAAAGCAATTCCTTCATGGGAATAAGTACTTGGGTGGCTGCTCTATCTTGGCAGGCCAGGTGACTGTGAGCTCCCCCAGGCGGAGTATCAGACTCTATGGGCCATTGAGCCACTCGGGGTTTGTCCCTGGGACAGGAGACATTTCTCCCACTCTCCAGAAAATCTGTGTGCTAAGTTCACCCAGCATGAGACCTACATCTCCTACATTTTTGATTACAGATAATAAATGCAAGTGGGAAAAATTCAACTTCTTCAAAGGTCAAATTCATCACTAATGTCACAACATTTTGAAGTTGCAGTTTCAGACTCAAACTGTCTTCATTTTGTCAGTGAAGAACATTATGTGTCATATTGCATATTGAAATCTATCCGTAATAGTGTCAACATAAAAATAAAGTTAAATCTATACTTCTTGTTCTTTGAAACAAAGCTTTTGTGTGATAAAGTGGGGCGATGCTTTACACATGAAGTGAAATGCCAAGCTACCTGGAGCGACCATGATTTCGTGCTTCTTTGACCTGATCCTCAGGAAGGTGAGGTCGTTCTGAGGATCGATGTCACGCACGGTGCTCTTGGCTTTCATCGTCAGCTGGTGGAGAAGGCCCGCATACTGCACCGTCGTCGAGTTGTCCAAGGTTGTCCGAATCGGGATGCCTGTCACGTGATTTAATTGGGGGTTAAACATTCTTTTTCTGGTTATAAAAGTAATAGGCATATTGTAGAAATAGGGAAAATACTTATAGTTGTTAGGAAAAATAAAAAGTGGAGGCTGGTATTACTCACTAGTAATGATTTTAGATTATTTTCTTCCAATTGTCTTGTCCCTACTTGGATTTTAGAAAATACTTGGGTCAAAGTATAATTACAAATTTGATGCTTGCTTTTTAATTTAAATGATAGCGTACAAGCCCTTGTTGGTGATGATGTCATCAATATTATTTCGAATGGCTACACACTCACTTTATGGATCTACCATAATCAATCCCAATTGTTGAACTGTTCCGTATCGTGTTTTTGTTTTTGTCACTAATGCTGTGACAAATGTTCTTGTGCACCAATCTTCTGGAAGTTGTTGACTGATTGTCACAGTACTAGGTGAACATATTACTACACACAAATGCATTGCCTTGAGTGTCCCGTCTACAGTGGGTCTGCTTTGCAATGCTTGGTCTGTGCTCATTTTCTCCCCTGAGGCGAGAATTAGGCAGCAATATCACTGCACATGCTAGACAGTATATCAAAAGGGATTTTCAAAATTTCTTTGTAACATGCAATATTCAGCAAATCTTAAATTTTATATTAGAAAACATAGCAACAAAAACACTGTGGTCTTGCGAGGCATCTCCTGGTTTGCACTTACTCTTGGTTTAAGCATTATTAAATTTGGCTACTTGTGTGCTCTATTGCTCCATGATACACATTTTTGAATGTGTATTAATTTCAAAAGAGCCTATTAATTTCACTGGAAGAATCTAGACAGACAAATAGGCAAGTATAATTCAATTCAGTTCAGATCAATCCGGCTTAGTTCGGGTCACTCAGCGCTCAGTATGTATTAACAGGTGCTGTGCTAGGTCCTTTGCATATATTGCATCTAATCAGAAGTGGCCTTCATATTATTTTAAGAACTTCCACCAAGCCAGAGAGCTCCAGGGATTTGATTGGCAAATGTGTCTTTAATTTAGGGTGACACATGAAGGTGAATTGGGGATCACTGTCAGTTTCTTCAGGTACCTGAATTATGGCCAATCAATGAAAGAAGCTAACGTGGCTCTTGGTTTTCCCTCAGTGAAGGTAATTTCAGGAACTGTTAAGTGAGAGGAGTTCTTTAAGAGTGGACCAGCATCACAAACTTGGGCTTTTACAGTTTTTCATGAAACTCTTTGAGAGCCTCAGTTCTGACTTTGAAACAGATTAGTCGGTTCCTCTTTTAAGAAAATTATTGTCTCTAGAACAGGTCCTGCCAAACAATACAAGAACAATATTTACAGGAAAACCTACTTGATAAATAAGGTTTTATATACATTTGTTAATTTTCATATTATTATTTCTTGGCTGCTTTTCCCCCAGAAGTCGGTTTTGTCTTTCACACCTGATGAAACATCAAAAGACATGTGTCTTTAACAAGAGGAGAGTGAAATGTAGCAAGCACTCAACCTTGTAAGAGCACTTTTTGACGAATAGCTCTATTTTGCATCCTGAATAGTGACTACCTACAAAGTCTGCATTGCTCAGTGTCAAAACAAGAAATACCACCAGAATAAATTATTTAAAGTGTAGATGACAGGATTATGAGTCAGATGCTCAGGCCTATTTAGTTGTCTATCCGTGATCCATGTCAATAAATGAAACAGCCAGCTTTTCTGCACCTAAGTACACACTGTGGACAGTCTTGGAGTTTTTCATACCCTATTAGACACTTGAACAAATCAACAAATATCTGTGGAGCTCTTGCTTGGTACCATGCAAGGTAATTACAAAATAATTTATTAACAAGTAATTTTAGCACATGGTGTAAAATTCGCCCACTTCCTCTTCCGAGGGGTAACCACTGCTCACTGTTTCTTTGGTACCCTTCCAGAGGCACCACAAGTCTATTCAAGCATGTTTGTGTTTTAAGTCTTCAGTTGTATCATTCTCTATTCTGCACCTAAATTATTTTCTTTTAATGCACTTTGGAAATGGTTCCATTCCATACACGTAAGGCTAGGTCATTCACAATGACCGTGTAACATGAGTGTCAAATGGATGCTTTCTAATGCACGTGACTAGTACATCCTTCTGAGGAGCATGGAGGCGGTCCCCAATCTTTGGCTTTTATGTACAAGGCTACAGAATACATCTTTGGACATGCCATTTCATGTTTCTATATATGTGTAGTAGAAATCCCTGAAGTGAAATTTCTAGAACAAAGAGTATGAATTTGATATTGATGAATTTATGGCACTACTTTAAAATGACTATTATTCCAGTAAGCTGGTACTTTTCCACTGAACATTTGTACTTTGGATGATAGATTGTATTTCAAAAAGAAAGGGAGTTAGCTAGATGGCTGATAATACCTAATGAAATTCAAAGAATAGATTGTTGGTAATGTCAAGAGTATTTAAAATTAAGAGCCTACAGAAATAAGACTTGTATACGTAAGAATGTATGACAGATGTGACTGTGTGAAAAACATACATGTACGCAATATATTCATCAGCATCTAAATCAATGTTCAGTGCTATAATGTAAATAGTGAAAGGTTTTCTAAGTGGGAAAGCAACGTTGACACAAATCTTCTCTAATAAAAGTGATTACCATTCAGCATTGGGCTAAATTGATAAGTCTACTTTATTGTCATGAATAGGAAGTCTATGTTTCAATAACAGTGGAACCAAAAATCTCTACTTAATATGGCATATGAAGAGGTCTAATATATAAACATGTTAGAAGGCTCATATAAAATCACATTTAAAACTTAAAAATACGCTAAAGTGATTTGCCTAGAATTAGTGGACTAACCCTACTAGCAGAGAATAAGAACATATAAACACCATCTCAGTTAAATATTTTCAGTATCAAATTTCCTGGGACTTCTGAAAGCTACAAAGCCACACTATTATAAGTGGCACTTTCATCTAAAATTGAATAGGCTGTTGCAATGGAGTATTTTATTACATTCTGGTCACACAATTTATACCACATGCTATTAATAAACATTCTTGTCATACACTCTGGTTGTTAACAATCTGACCATCAAAATAAGCCCTTCATTTATATTTTTGGAAAAAAGATTAATTTGGATTTCAGAAAAGTGCCCTGAATCCTAACACAACCTAATTCCTGTAGAGGTTAATAGGTCTTAAAAATAATATTTTGTTGCTTTTGGATGAGAAAAGTGCTGAGAAATTTACATTCCAGGAAAGGAATGTAAAAACCACTTTTAATCCCACCATTCAGAGATAATTACCACAATTACCTCTGCCTTTTCTTCCGTATTTATTCAAAGTGTATATATGTGCATGACCATATTTTTTATTAGAACATGCTGGATGCTGCTATGTTCCTAGATTTTTTTCATCTAATATTGTGAGTAGTTTTCCACGACTCTGAATATTCTTCAACACTTTAAACAGATCAATAGTTCATCAAGTAAATATTACATAATTAATTTAAAATTTCCCCTACTGTTGGGATAGATTTATTGACTTGTTTGTCTGGTTATTTATTGCTACTCTACATGATGCCTCTGCAAGCATCATTGGTACCTAAATGTTTCCATCACTACTTCTTAGGATAAATTCCTAGGGTTGACATCACAGATTATAGAGATTTTTCAGACATTCTGTGCATATTGCTAGGATTATGTACTTTAAACTAAGATCTTCCAAAATAATACATCAGATGAGTCATCCTGGGTGTCACAGGTGAATTCACCTGTATTGGGCTGAATAGTGACGCCCCCCATTCAGGTCTATTCTAAATCTCAGACTGTGACCTTACTTGGAAATAGGGTCTTTGTAGATATAACTAGTTAAGATCAGGTCACACTGAATTAGGGTGGACCTAATCCCATGACTGATGTCATTAAGAAGAGAAAGCAGAGACATGGAGATGACCATGGAGGCAGAGCTGGGAGGGATGCATCTATGAGCTGAGGAGTGCCAAGGATTGCTGGGAACCACCGGAAGCTGGAAGACAGCAGGAAGGCCGTCTGGTAGAGCTTCGAAGAGAGCGTGGCCCTGCTCACAGCTTGATTTCAACTTCTAGCCTGCAGAGCTGAGAGACAGTAACTATTTATGGCAGCCAAAGGGAAAGAATACAGCACCTCTGTGAAGTGACAAAGATAACCCACCTTAGGGGGTGTGGCAGACTGTATGCAAGGACATGGACCTAAAATCAATTCGATCAGAATCATGCACTAGGGCTGGACTGCTTCCTGGAAATATTAGGCACAGATCTTGGCTTACCTATAGGGCTCATCTTAAATCCACTCCCTCCTGACCACCCGGGCTGGGTGTATTTATTATATTCATTTGATGTTGAGATAGGTTTAATTTTATTCTGTAAAAACATCAGATGTTCTAGTTATACATATCGGTTAAAAATTCCCACATCCTCAGAATTATTTATTTATAATTCTAGTAAGTGTTGGGTATTGTGCAAGGCACTTGACAATTATTATTTCGCTTATCATAACCATAAAGTAGGTTATTTTCCATTTTTAATAATAAAGGATTGAAGGTAAGAGTTTAAACAGACTTTAAATTGTTTAAGTTTTAAAGCCATCAATAAACATTGATGGATTTGCTTCAAAATAATGATTAGTTGTGAGATTCTGTTGCCAAGCACTGAGTGGGCAATATGCCAATCCCATCACGCCACACGAGTTATATGAAGTAACTACTCTTATTTTGACTAGTACTCTGGGATTTGTGGCACCTCTTGCCCTTACAAATGCCCAAATTAGTAAGGGCAAGAGGTGCCACAAGGGGCAATTGAGCAAGAGCCCTTAAGAGGTTGCCACGATAGCTGAGCACGTGGCAAGCAATGTGCCAGAGAAATGCTCTGTGGATTAATGGGGACTGTGGAGTGAGAGCAAGTTTCTGGTACAAGTCTACAGATTTCATAGGTGGAAATAGATCAGTCCTTCTTATACTATAACTTAAAGACTACAGTATAAATTACAATTAATTTTCAAGGATTTCATGAAATATGATAAAGGAACAATTGCATTTAAAATGAAGAATGAAACTTGGAAATAATGTTAAAACAAAAACATACTGCCAGCAATAATATTCTCCTTATCTTCAATATAAAAGTCTTATTGGTATTCCGGAAGTGACAGAAGAGAGTTATCAAAGCTTTCAAAATTAGACAATGTATAGTGTTTCTTAGCAATATATAGACATTTTAAGACAGGTCTTATTTATATTTATATCCCTAGTTCTTAGCAGAGTGCTTGACATGTAATACTCAATAGATGTTTGATAAGTAAAAGTTACAGGTAAAATATATGAACTATGCTTTTGATTACAAGCTCTAAGAGGCTTGTCACAAGGCGTGGCACAAAAACCAGCAACTTGGGGGCCTCTGCAGAGGTCAAGAAGGCAGCCCATGATGTATTTACCTTCTGCATTTACAACCATGGTTCCGATAACCCCTTTATGGTTCTGTATCCTCTTCAGGGTTTCCTCCACCTCTGCCTGTTAGAGATCAGAATGACAATTAACCAAAAGGGTCTTTGTGGTTACCTCAGTCCTAAAGAGAATAATATTTGGAAAGATCCCTACTCCCCTTTCCCTTTAACCTAAGGCACTGGATGCTATAATCCCAGACTTTTGGAAGAGAGCTTTGAAATTGTCAAGTCCCATACACAAGCTGACACAGTGGGATCTCTGACAGACAGCCCTGACAAACCTCTTGGCTTGAACTCTTCTACAGTTAGAAAGCTTATTGCCTCACATGAGCTCACTCCATTTTTATCTGTCTTTGTTTACTGGCAAAGTATTCTTTACATTGGACAGAATTCCTTTCCTGACCATCTTCCACTCATTGATCTCTCTTTTTGTATGAAAAATTCCTTCTCCATTATAGTATTTTAGTTTTTATAGAGTTGTATCACTGCCACTCTCTGTCTAAAAGTATCTAAAAGTATTAATGAGAAATCTTATTTTCAGTCCAAAATGTTACCTTCTTGGAAGTTTAGGTGATTAAATTCAGGGTATTATAAAACATGTTAAAAACATATTCTGGGAGTCCAAGAATCTCTTGGTAACTATGGCCTAGTTCTCAGTGCAAACTGAATGTTCAACCATGACTATGTTGGAACCCCATTATTGGATTTTAAAATCAGCTTTCTTAATGAATTTTACAAATAAACTATATTGTAGTGGTTTTCTCTCCTTGTACAAATGATAAAATCAAGAAGTCTTTTCCAAACCTGCATATCATTCATAACTGAGTAATCACTGGATATTCTGAATTCAAACATTATTCTTCACTGTCTTGAAGAGGCTTTGTGATATTTTTTTCTTCTCAACATCATATAGGTGAACATGTTACTTAGGCAAGACAATTTTCTTTTGTACCTCATGTGGACGAGAAAACTTATTTCTTCCTTTGTTATGACCATACAGGTGTTTTCTGAATTCTAGGCACTTATGTACTAGATTAACAATTTTTGGCATTAGAAATACCACCTATATTATTTAGCTAGCATGTTCTTTAAATCATCTCTCTTCTAAAAGTTTAAATAAATGCATTTTCAAAGGAAACGATACATCACTACCAGAAATGGAAATCTGATATTATTAGTCATAAACAAATAACCAAGAAAAAAGAGGGGAATATATTACATTCCACTCTAAAGAAATCTAAAGGTCTGTTCTTTAGTGAAAAACTGAAATTGTGAAATGCTAGTGGTATAACGACTTAATATTGCCAGAAGCTTTCACCTGGATATGGTGGAAAGGTTGAAAAGAAAATGAAACGAAAGAGGAATAGCTTTCTCAAATGTGATCTATTCTGTCTTATTTGATATTTCTGAGCCATGTTTTGCATCTCACTTTGGGAAACATTGCACTTAAAGCTGTACAGGGGGTGCTACTTTATCACCCCCCATCTCTAAGACAATGTCCACAGCTCCTTACAATCACTGCCCCCATTTACCCTTTGCTCTTTTACGTCTCTCCCAAACGCCTCCCTCTGCTCTTCCCAGTTGTTTTCTCCTCTTGTGATCCGAACCCTCCTGCTAAAATCTCTTGATCCCCATCTCCTTTTCATTCCCCTTAAAACTCCTCGCTTTCACCTTACTCTTCTTCAAACTTTCCCCAGTCTCCACTTTCCTTCCTTCACTCCCTATTCTGTCTCCCTCCTTTCCTCTTTTCTCTTTATTTGCGTTTCTTCTCTCGCAACATCTTCTCTTTCTCCCCTTTCTCCACTGCCTTGCTCTCCCTGTCCCATCCCTTTCTTCCTTTTCAGGGCGATTTTTCTTTCCGTCTTGCACCTCCCCTTTTCACACTTTCCTCACTCTAGATAGAGCTCTCTCGTCCCTCATAGGATCTTTCATTTCCTCAATATCTCTCTTCTCTGTCTTGATATCTCCCCTCACCAAGTACCACCTCCAGAAATCACCACCCTGGATATCTATGCCTTAAGATAGCTTCCTCATCTAGACATCATCATCCCTGCCTTCATGGTCGTCCTCTCATTTCTAGGTCGTCCTCCCAGTCACCCTTCCAAGCAGCTTATGGAGACCCCAGCCTTCGCCGCGGCCCCGGCCCGGCCTGGATCGACCTCGGGAGAAGGGCAGAGAAATCCCACGTGGGTCAGCACCCTTGGAGCGGTGGGTAGTGGACGGAGAGCCCAGATTTACCATCGCGTTGGCCACGAAACTCCGGGATAAATCCCGTGCTACAGCTGTCCGGTTGTCAGCAACGCTTCCAGCCGTTGCTAAGAGACGGGGGAGGAAGTGACCTCCCGGAAGCGTCGGTGCCCCGCGCCTGCGTGCGCAAGGGTCAGGCAGCAGGTGGATAGCGCTTTTCCGCCCAGAACTGTCCTGGCTCCGCCAGGCCGCCGTAGGCGGAGTTTTTGGCTTTTGCCCCCTGCGCTCACCTGAGTTTCACTAACACCTGCGGAGCTAGGAGGCCAAGGATCGGTGCGGGGCAAAAGCCAGGCTGCGGGTCATTTGTTCATCGTCCCTCCTTCCATTCGTTCATTCCTTTAGGTACGCATTAATGTAACAGCTACTTCCTCATTCAAGATCACTTACCACATGCCGGTGTCTTTTCAGGGCCCAGGGTATCGTCCGGCTAGGGAGACAGACAAAATACAACAAAGGAAGCAATACCCCAAGTGAGATACCTGCTCCGGGGCATACACAGGGGAGCTTCTCTCTGACGCTGGGTTTGGGTCTATTTTGATATTTGGTAATAGACTCATTGACACTCTGCGTGCTTCCTTGTGCAGCATTGATAACGTTTGTTCCCCCGACCTATACGGGTAGTTAATTTTTTTTATTAAGGAAAAAATATATCTGCATGGAATAGTGCAATATGTATGTTTGTTATCTCCCACCCCCAAAACAGCAGGGTAAGCGCCATCTTTCATCTTATGTTCTCATCTAGTCGCAGCCCTGCTCTTCATTCAGTGGGATAGTTGCAACTTACCAGTACTTTTGTATAATCCATTAGGATTTTTCTTTTGTAGTCATTATTTGTCAGCAGTTCTGAGTCATTGAAAAATTGCAGGTGGTAGTGAGGGATGTTCTATAAATTGCCACAGAAGAGAGCATTCCACTGGGTATTAAGAAATTGGAGGAAATAAGTTAAAGATCAATTAGGGATAGTCAGAAGTCACTTGACCTTTTGAAGGGCATTGATGATATCTTTTTCAGTAGTCTGGAAGTCAGAGACCAACTGTTCTATGAAGTGCAGCAGGAAAATTTTGGGTCTGGAGTCAAAGTCCTGGGGTTTGAAGAAGACAAACTGATTATACATTCAAATTATAGGTTAGGAGTGCATCCCCATAGGGACCACTGATGCTATGATGACTATAATACTGTTTCAGTTTGGGTTCCCATCTCCTGAAAGCAGTCTCACACCAAACAAGGCATCCTTATTGCTAGAAATGCCAACTAGGATCGGAATGGGTCCTTGACAGAGATGCTCTAAAGCCATTTTGAACTTGCTGGTAATTTTGGATTAGATAATCCATTTGAACTCAGAGTCTTTCATTTTATGACATTAAATTATGTACAGAAATGCTCTGAGTAGGTTCTGGTCACGCTCATCCTCCTTTTTTCCCCTCCAAGAAACTCACACTTCTCAAAAAATCCAGGTCACAATAGTTAACTAGTCTCCTTTGTCACTCAACATCTAGAAGGCCAACGAAGATGATTTGGAATGGATAGCTAAGCTTGTGGAGGAGAAGTCTGGTGTGTGTGTGTGTGTGTGTGTGTGTGTGTGTATTTGTGTACAGATCTGGCTCTTGACTCATTGCCTATATCTACCTTTATAAGTACTAAATGTATAGATACTCACAGTGACCCTGGCCATTGACTGTGAAATGACTGATTTGGGAGCTCTCTGGGTGTTTCTGATTGAGGAGAACCCCACTTGGTTGTGTAGCCATTTGTTTTGCTTATAAAATCAGTGGCAGTGCACCATTTCTTTTATGTCAATCAGCTTTAATGAAGGAACTGACTGCATATGCATGGAGTGTGAATCCCCTCATTTCTAGAGTCAGAGCGTCAAACTCGTTCGATAGCTGACAGCTGTGATTAGAGCAAGGAAAGACTGCAGCGTGAAGGGCACTGACAGGGGAACCCAACTGCTGAAAAAGTAATAAGAAATAGCCAAACTGACTTCTAACCAACAGTCAAGTTTGACTCACTGTGCACAGGAAATCAATGAGGAGAATATGAGCCATTTTCTCCTTATCGATTTTCACTTCTAATTATTCCTTGGAGGTAGCTTGGTTTAATTTCTGTGCCTTTTTGGGACTGTAGTGAATATCCAGAGCTGTGCTATATAAAGTAGCCTGGCAGGGTCGGACACGTTCCCTATCCTATTCTCAATATAGTGAGTTATCCCTTTTCCTTCTTCTTTTCCCAGCCCTGCTTTGATGGACACTAAGCGATAAATAAGTTTGAATTTAAGTGAAAGAATGAAGGGGTAATACTTTTTGGAAGCATTCTGAAGTGACCCCCAAAGTCCACAGTTCTTCACATAATTTTGTCAAAATGAGGTCTCTGTCTTTGATAATTTGCTACTGCTCTCTGCTTAACCTAAAGAAATTCAGGTAACTTGATATCATCTTTTGTTGTCTTGGGAGTTTCTGTACCACCCCTTATCTCTTTGGCATTCTTTCCTACTTGGCAAATACCATAAGCTGGGCCATAGAATATATTTTGTGCCCATTTTCTCATAAAGTAAGGCATCATCACTAGTACTCTAGTAGTTTCTCTCCAGAAAGTACCATATTCTCTGAAAACGCCCCTTAGTAATAGGAAAGCAGAAGTAGATAATGTCAGTGATAGCGATGAGTATTCCATATAACTGACCTGATGCCATAGAATTACAGGATGTAGATTTAGGGTTCCAAAAGGCCAAACATTTTCTACTTCTTATTAGGACAAAGAAACCTTCTAGGGTAATTCTTCCTAGAACTCAAGTGTAACATAAGCACTTACTTCTTATAAGGGAATCCTCCGTGTTGGAATTAAATGGTTTCCTAGAGCACAGAATTTAGCCTTACATGCAGCTAGGGTTGAAGTTTCTAGATATGTTTCTTTGAGTAAAATAAATTCTCAGGGCTTTTTCTTCCTCATTTATAAGATAGGAAAGATGATATCTACATTAGAGGGGTTTTGTGAGGTTTAAATGATATTATGTGGGTAAAATGCCTAGTTTGTACCAGGTACCCAATATGGATGATTTAAGTACATTTCTTTCTTATGTCTTCTTTTTTTTAGTTCATCCTTCCCACTTCCCTCCATTCCTTTTCTCCCCATTCTCCCTCCTCATCTTTCAATTTCTCTAGACTTTTCTTCTCTACTTCCCTTCTGTTTCTTTCTCCCTTTTAACTGCCTTCTCTTCAACCTTCCTTTCTTCACACTGTCCCCAGGAAAAATATCTAGAATTTTTATGTTTGACTTTCTCACTAAATAATGTCTTTCCCTTTCTTCTTTTATTCCTTTTGTTACTTACTCAGAATATTCATCTAATATAATTCATCTGCCTCTAATCTCATTTTCCCACACAATTCCCATTTTTAAACTTCTAGCTCTATAAGCAGTTCTACCATCTCAGCACCTTGCATGAAATAGATATTCTCAGTATCCGAGCATTGGGGGCAAACTGTAAACATTTCCTCATGTATGTCTACCTTTGCACAAGACAAAGGTAGTCAATGAGTCACATATAAAATGAAATGAACAGTTGTTGGGTCACCACAAAGGGAACTCCTGTGTAACCCCCAACCAGGTCAAGAGATAGAACACTGCCCACATTCCAGAAGATTCCACATGGCACTTCCCAATCATTACTGGCTTGAAAAGCAAAAAGTATTTTAACTGCCTACTGAAAAAATTGCTGATGCCTATAATAGACTCTTCTTCTCTTTTGTCTTCAAAATATGTTTGATGGCTGAAAAAATAACATTGGTTCAGGGTTTTCTAAGTATACAACTGTAATATGTAAAGTAAGTACAACATAAAGGGGGAAGGTAAAGAGACTTGTATGAGGTTAAGCATCTTACTTTCCCCTTGAAGTGTTCCAGTATTATTCTAAGTAGACTGTGAAAAATGAGGTACGTAATCCCTAGAGTAACCAATAAAAAAAGTATACAGATATAGTAAAATAGCAAATAGATAAATTAAAGTGGAATACTAAAAATTGTTAAAATCGTATAAAAAGGAAAAGGGAAAACGGTGGAATGGAAAACAAGTGGAACAATCTGAAAACAAATAATATAATTTTAGAATTAAATCCCAATACATCAATGATTACATTAAGTGTAAATAGTCTAAGCACACCAGTAAATGCGAGAGATTGGTCAGAATCAATTTGAAAAATGTTCAGTGATTTCTGTTTTGGGAGAGATGGAGTAGATCCACTTTTCCCTATTCCTTCCACTATGTATAACTAAAAATCTGGAGATTATACAAACACAAGACTTTGGAAGAGGGAGAAAATTAGTCCAATTGCTTAGGGACATTTGGACCCAAAGAATGACACGATTGTGTTACCTGGATTTTCTTTTTGCCACCTATGTTCCAGTTCTTGGAGCTGAAGGAGCTGGTCACCCAGAAATGTTGATAGGCACAGAAGTTTTTGAAAGCTCCAACAAAAACCTGTTCTCTAGACCAGGCAAGGGACCGCCAACAAGACAGATACTTAGGAAATAAGCACTCTTCTTGAGCCAAATGCCACAGAAGCCGAGTAGAGAGTATAGACCTCCACTCTCATCTGTTTACTCCTCCCCTCACTCCCCTCAGGGTATTGTCAGAGAAGGCTGAGTAGGAAGTGAGTGCTTTCATCCTACTGGGTGTTAGTGGTCACTTCCCCCACTCCCTGCAGCAGTTTTAGTCAAGTTCAGGTGGGGATCCTGGATTGCCACTCCCATTCTAGCATATGTATAGTTACATTAAATATAAATAGCCCAGACACACCAATAAAAACACAGAGATCATCACAGTGGGTTAAAAAATGACATAACTATATGCTATCTACAAGTAACTGACTCCAAATATAACAATATATGCATATAGAAAAACAGAAGGATGGAAAAGGACATATCATGTAAACAATTCAAAGAAAGACAGAGTGTTATATTAGTACCAGATAAATAGACTTCAGACCAGAGAAGATTACTAGATACAGAGAAGTATATTGTATAATGATAAAATGGTAACGCCACCAAGAAGACATAGCAAATCTAAAAACGTATGAAGCAAACAACAAAGCT